GAAATGCGTTTCGTCACTCTGTCTGCTTTAAAGGTGCAACAATTGTTACCTGAGGTCTGGATCCCGTCGACCAACGAAATCATAACAGAGAACGGTTCGTTTATGGAACTTTCCGCATCAGATACGCGGACGTTTCAGGCTGATACAGGTTGCCGGATTAAAGAGGTAATCGAACCACAACTATACCATTTCAAGATAGCTTTGAGAAACTATAATTTTCATTTGCGAAACCGTCATTTGGAATTGAGAAACCATCACTTAGACTTGAGNACTTGAGAAAGAAACGCTGTGGTTGGATCCGTTTCCGTTCAGCACACCTCATTGGTCAATTGAACATACATTTTTTCTACCCCCAGATCGACCACCTGTCTTCCCACGCTCTTTCTGTGTTGAAATGAGGCCGACCTCAGTCGTGCATCTTGTCGAGCTATGTGACTGACGTCGAATGGGTGGGTCGGTTAAGCCATGCTTGTGACAACCATGTGGGGCACCACTCGATATGCACGAAGGGTGACGCACTGTGTCGTGCCCACTACAGCTCTGCCGTTGACGATAACTCAATAATCAAAGCTGGCTTTGTAACTAAGATCAGGGTAGAGTTTTGGGCTTACGGTAAAATCCGAGTGATGTACGAGAATCATGGGCCTATTTGAATGAAAATATTGGTTCAGTGACAGAGGTTGGAGTTCTTGAGGTGAACATGGGTGAATGGACTGGCTGTCCCTAATGTCCCACCCATTCGACGTCCGTCACATAGCTCGACAAGATGCACGACTGAGGTTGGCCTCATTTCAGCACAGAAAGAGCGTGGGAAGACAGGTGGTCGATCTGGGGGTAGAAAAAATGTATGTTCAATTGACCAATGAGGTGCGCTGAACGGAAACGGATCCAACCACAGCGTTTCTTTCTCAAGTCTAAGTGATGGTTTCTCAATTCCAAATGACGGTTTCGCAAATGAAAATTATAGTTTCTCAAAGCTATCTTAAAATGGTATATAGTGAATCACCGGGCCGTTGTTGGTGTCGCAGATGCCACCATTCGGATAGGTAGTTAAGCCTTTCCGATTGCACGAATTCAACTAGCACAACTTTGATTTGTAACTAGGCCTGCTACAATCACAATCCTGGAAGCTATTCACCATCAATAGTAAATAATCCTTCAGCTGCCTCTTAGACTATGACTGCTAAAGATTGATGCAGAAGTGGCCAAGTGACAATCGTGCCATCTTAGATCAGTTGACAATGGAAGTATAGACCATAAAATTTAAAGGTCAGCTAGAGGAACTATAAGTTCAGTATGGAAATCCACAACTATAGTTTCCGAGATTATAATTAATTTGTTCCACTTTCGGTCAGAGCATCTCATTAGCAGTACATTTTTTCTATCCTCGATTGAAAACCTGTCTTTCCACGATATCTCACGTCTTGTCACGCTCGCTCAACGCTGTCGATTCGATGGATCGATGAAGCCGAGAGAGAGAGTGTGTATTACACGAGACAGCTAAGCTAGCCCCGAATCAATAAACACCAATGGTGACACATGCATTACTATGGGGCAAAGCTTATCCCAGTTTGCTCAGACAATGACAATCGCTCACTCACCAAAGGTTACCACGATAATTACGACCAGGTTTGAGTTAACCACATAAGCAAATCCAAATGGTCGTTCTGACCGTTTTGTTTCTGCATCATTTTTTTCAAACGAACGTCCAAGTTACCATTTTCCACGACTTTTCCCCAATTGATGTGATTCGTTTTCTGTTCAAAGTGGCTTTACATCCTGTGCATAGTATTCCATCTGCAGGCACTATCGTTATCTACCAATCACCCACCCCTCACGTTCGTACTTGAATGTTTTCCTCATTCTTGTCGTTTGTGACCGAGATCAATCGATACACGCCTTACGTCCGACGTTGATCGACCCTACTGCATTCTTGGTGACTGATTAAGCTATAGCGCTATAACTTGTGGGTCATTTTCTCTCGAATAAACTTAAATTTTCACATTGTTGTTTGGTACATTGAAGTCTTACGTTGAGATTGTGAAAAGTTCAGTAGTCTCGGTGGGATTCGAACCCACGCATGGACGTCGCTTACGCTTTTCTAAAGCACAGTCAGCTTACACGCTAACCATTTGCCTTTGTAAGTTGGATGGGTGATTCAAATATGAAAAGATCAGTGATATCGGTGTGGCCTCGTCGCTTAGACGGTAGGGCGTGCACTGCACAAAGGTGTAGGCGGCGTCCATGCGTGAGTTTGAATCCCACCTAATCTCGACTTAAAACAGGATTGTTGTGATGGCCTTTAGTGGTGATTGAGTCGTCCGATTTTGTCGATGACAGCCACGACCTTGATTGAAAGCTCTACCAAACAACAAACATTTTGAAAACCCTTACTCTCACTGTGTGAGTGGTTGTATGCGTGTGTGTGTGTGTGTGTGTGTGTGTGTGTGTGTCAGACTCTCGCACGAAATCATCTCACGTTACAGTGGCATGGTTGGATGGTGGAAGATAAAAGTTCACCTGTGTGATTCAGAATGCGGAAGTTGGGACGAACTGCTATTTCGGACACGTTCACAGTGTCACCCTCGGGTACCAAATCAAAATATGTGAAATGGATCAAATGTGTGTGCATGTGATGCGATGAAACACTGTTCTGGATACGAAAGGTACACGCCCACTGTGATGGATCTGGCTGGAAGCCTTTGCGGTGCTCTGATCTGCTCGAGGCGAGATTCCATGGGTGTGGTCGTTCATCAGACTGAGGCCATCGATACAGAGCTCAGTTAATTCAGGAAGCGGTAATTCCTCGAAATAGTTTTCGTGAATTTAAAAACAAATATTTTCGGTTCGATGATAAATATGACGGGACAAAAAGGAATAGGATTGAATGTATTTATTAAAGCAAAACGCGCCTGATCACTTACTCGCCAAACAAACCAGATAAATATGATATTATATACTGTGTGTTAGTGGTATTTGCGCAAACGTGCAAAAATGTGAATTAACTACTAAATGCATTCGAAAGCCCAGAACGAACACTATCCTTGTCAGTTAGGGTACCAATTGGTTTCTGTCGGCAGATATGCGAGATGAGATAAGTCCGTATTTGGAACGGGTGGGTGGATGAGATTTACAGGCTTATTTATCCATGAGTAAAGGATGGGCGCTATTGAATAGAATTTTCTCAGCAAACTTCGAGCATGCATCAATCAGTTCAGTTTCAGTTTCTACAACCATTAACGATGCACTCTTGCACGCCGGTTTTGGTTGCTGACTTTTGGCTGCCCATTTGGATGAAGAATAGGAGAAGACAGGAAAGTTGAAAGTAGGATCGAAGAGAAAATTGAGAAGTTCAGTGGACTAGTGATGCAAACAAACTGAGAAGATGCACGAGCACCACTGTTTGTGACACCCAACCATATCACTCAGTGTGTCTAATCATCGGTTACCATCATCCCGAAGTCCCTAGCCGGGGAGACATTTTTTATCAGAACAGATAAAACAACTTGTGAAACACGGCTGCTCATTGTGAGACCAGTGTAGAAATCGGAATAGCCAAGTATCATGAATCACAATCGCAATTATACCATGTGCAGGTATCGGTATGACAGAATCTCCCGCCACCGAGATGCAGGAAGAAGGCCACGGAAGTAGCGATTCATTTATTGAGAGGAACCAACGGGATTAAATAGTATGTAAATAAAAATATCATTGGTGAACAGGGAATCAACCAATCACCGTTCTCGTTTTCCGAATCTTCTGTTTGAACTGCATGGTATTTGATTGGCCAATACTGTTGACTTGTGGTCCGTTGTCCAGAAACGGGAGCACGTAGCGGCTTGGCTGGCGTTATCTTGAAGGCCTGACTCACCACAGCCAAGCCTCAGCAGTTTGAGTCAGCATTCAGCCAACCAGGGAATATCACAGGGGAACAGCAAAGGGAGTAAAGGGAGAATACGCTGTTGAACAAAAGCTTCTATCACCGACAAATCAGAACAGAAGTGACCCAATCTTCTCTGGATGGAAAGATCTATCAGCTCGCGAGCAACAGTCTGAATATGCAAAGACCAGTGAAGTTTATTTTCACGAATGACATCTATTCATTCCACATAGTTGACCCTGCTGATCGGCTTTCACTTAATCTGTACACTGTCAAAAGGAGTTTGGGAACGGTTCAAAGTAAAAATACATTCAAAGCAATTTTCAGTATTAGGATTTAGACCGGATAACATGGAATACGTAATGAGACGGAATAAGTTTGCGTCATATGTTGTCAGTTCCGACTGCTTATAGATATGGACGCAGAAATGATGATGTGATCAGCATCTCGTACAGAGAAGTAACGGCTAATGCGTTGATGTAAGTTGTGAATAGATAAAGTGATAAGACGGCACCTTGAAGCTAACCCGAACGATTCAGTGACATCATTGACTGTCTTCTTCATTTAACATACCGATATCGTTACGAAAATTAATCTCAAAGCTATTGAAGAACAGAAAGAAGATGGACAGCCAAACGAATGCAGCTTGCTAATTAAAAGAGATCGGAGCATGCATCGAATCAAAAGCGGAAGAAAAATCAAGAAATGCACAGTGCACACATATTTGGCTTTCCCGTTTCCAGACTTGCAAACGAGGATGAACTAGAGAAGGAAACGCATCCACTGTAGAGCGATTATATTTCTACGCAAACTAATCAGTTTCATCGGGGGGGGGTGGTGGTAACGGAAAGCGATGTAGAACCAACTGCTTCATCAATTTCAAACCAGTGGAAGGGAGAGCGATTGGCCCGGAAACGTTTCGCAACTGGGGCATATGTTGTTCCTATGGGGGTGCTTGTGTAATTCGGGTTCGAGTGAAAGATGAGTTATGTGTGCAAAAATGTGAGACAGTGACTCAGCATCTTGACGATGGTCAATGCTAATCTGGTTGTTTCCATCCTCATTCCTCAGCGATTACGTGGGTGCAACTTCGGGAAAGTTGCACTGATGATATTGCCTAGCCTGGTTACGAAAAATCGTCGGACAACACTTCTAGCTCAGAGAACACATCAACACCAACAAAGAGAATCCTTTTTTCACTTTCGACAACTACAGCTGTTTGATGGACACCAGTCAACCTCGACTGATACCGCACACCCAGGGAATTCGTCCGGATAATTGAAAACAGAGCTAGCCGCTCAATTCTGCTTCTCATGTTGTCTATCAGTTCACCTGCAACTGCAGTGACATTTACATCGACAGAACGAATTGCTCCTGTTACGATGGATACACACTGTAAACAGTGCTACTTATTAAACTTTATCCATTATATATGAACTCAATAACAAATTTGATTTGATTACGTGGTGAATTACGACATACACAGAACAAACAAAAGGTGGACTAAAACATCCCATCCCATCCGTCAACTAGATCCTAATACCGTTGTGTTCCCTCCCGAATAAATTAAAAAGCACTGTGCAGCTGATTTTTGACCTGGTTGATTCTCAAGAACAGTGCAAATCCATTGACCCAACCAGGGATCGAACCCAGGACCGTACAGGTAGAATTTAATCGTCCTGTCTCATTGCACCGCCATCGGAAGCTTTATGACAGTGCAAATTAAATAGTACATATGGTTAGAACCAAAATGACCTTCGTTGTGCATACACTAATTAGTTAGTTTCGTTTCCCTGCATAAACCAACCCTTACATCGGTGACCTCTTGGCTAACCTCTCGGCGTGGCTAAGACCGGTGCTGTTCTGATTTTCGGAGTCAACGTGTCACAGGTGAAGAGTCAGTGATTAACGTCTATTACTATTTGCCGTCATGGTGATAAACCTTAGCATCCCAGGCGAAAATAACAGCAAAACGAATGATCTTTACCTAAAAGGAGTGAAATGGGCACACGCGTTAATGTAACTGTTTGTGTTAGCCTTGATATCTAAGCTTTTTCATTACACATTTGTGTGATGAGCAACAGATAGAGTGAACCCCATTGACACATAGACCGACAAACTAAGCCCCGGGGGACTTGCAATGGCGAACCATATAAGGTCCCACTGGGTTAGGCTTCTGTGATGTTGATATAGTAAAGCTGCCCTACCACCAAAGTTGGGTGGCGGTGGCGGGGCTGGAACCTCAGACCATAGGGTCCAAAGCATGCCAGTGACAGCGACCAAACCGCTGCGCCACCATCGCCCAGTGCTAGTTCCTGCGTCGGGAGTCGAACCCGAGTCACCTGGTTAACTGAACCGATAACTGTCACTTCCGTTTTGCAATTCCCTTGTTTTATTATTCAAATCTGGAATAGAAATTGTTTACCATCGCATCTTTCCAATCCTATTTCCGGATACCTTCAAATTCACGGCCCAAGTTCACACACTCACGACAGCTTGAGATTCAGTCACTCATTAAGTCATTCGAATTTTTTTGTGCGAAAATTTAACTAAATGGATCTGTTGATTATTCCCGTCACTAAATTGGGTTGTCTTTTTTAATAATTTCCACCCACGTCGTGCAATAGGGGCACATTCTCCAAGCTCATTGTGGCCCGTACTCATCCGATGCTAACCGAACAAACCGGGAACGAACGGGATGAGATTTGTCTACCCTCCAGACTAATACTTCACCAGACCATGATCACAGCCGATAACCCTGCGGATGAACAACTCGCCCGACAACGTGCCATCCTTCTGACCGGATTAAACACGTCCAGCGGTGGAACTGAGGCCGCGGTGGATGATTTCTTTTGTGGTATGGAAACCTCACTCATATTCACTGCGTATCGAAAACTACTTCCGTGCGGTTGGTCGCTCGGTTGGTTGGCCAATGATGCCGCGAAGCCCACAATGGGAATCAGTGTGTCACATTGGATTCCCGGTGGTCTGCTGTTGGACGTGTTGTGCAGTCGAACCGAGTACACAGAATTCACGATCATGCATTGTGTACGACAAGTGCTGCTTGCTCTGCGTTGGTTACATGTGAAATTTTCCGGACGACCGCATGGTTCCGTAAACCCGAGCCACATTTTGGTCGCGCGTAGAACCTCTGCACTACCGGACATTGTACTGTCCGGGTTGGGGAACACGGTGAATGATGATGAGGATGATTTTACAGGTAAGCAAAAGCTGAATTACATTCGCCGGATATCCCCTATATGTACATATACTATGTATATAAAAGATGACGTAATTAGATTAGAACAGAACGACTGAATGAGGTAAATTGAAAATTCACTTTTAGTCAATTTCGTGGAATTCTCCCCCTCTCCACCACTACTGACACAACGTTTAAGTAGTTCATGGACATTAGCAAAATGTCTGGAGTCCGAAACAAGAAAAAATATACCAGATAAAGATTCTCATTCCAGAAGTCCGAGCTCAGTGGGCTCGTGTTCGGGACATCAAGAAACTGAGCACGCGTAGGTGATTCTATAGTCCACTACCTGGAGGTCAAATGGTAAACTCCGGTTATTCTAGGGAAATTTGTCGTGACAATCCGATCCATAACTGCTTTAATGCCGTCCTGTGTGATTGAGTTGGGTTACTAAGTGGGAACTGATTAGGGAGATAGGTACGGTCTTGTGGATCTGCTTTCCATGGTTCAAATCTCGGTGAGGTTGCATCATGTGAAAAACTGCTTCTGTGTGTATCACATCACATCACACACATTGCTAACCGTTATTATTGATCATTAATTCCCTGTGCTTGGTGTCATATCATCTTAAGATGTTGTACACAATGACGACTAAAAATATAAATCAAACGATCTCTATAAATTTCAGTATGTCAGTCAGTAACTTCTGAAAAGAAATAACGTCTATCTCATCTCTAATATATTGAAGGAATATGATGAATGAAGACCTTGGGTGACGTTTCACTCAACTTTTCATCTTCCTACCTACCCCATCAATTATTGTTTCTACAATGCTCTACACCCACATTATTCTGGTTTATACTCAAATCCAGCCTTGACAATGAAATACAAATGGACATATTTTTCATGTTTTATTTCTGTGATCAAGAGATTCTATCTATAGATGTCACTTTCGAAGCTGGAACGAACACTGATGTCTAACCGTAACTCGATATCATCCGACACACGGAGTACTCAGATTTCTCATCATTGGAGCCAGCTCATGCACGTCTCATTCACCCACCTCTAAGACGTCCTCACTGGTCCCACCACACAACCTTTATTCATAGTTTGAAAGATTCATCAGTCCCACCAAATTTGAGTTCAAATCGATTGTTTTTTAGGGGTTGTGCATACTGCTGTTACACGATTGTTCGTATTGGATGGGAGAACGAGATAGAACGGGATCCAAATGGGGTGGGGCAATTTGCACACTATATGTATTGTTGTATTCAATAAAACTCGTAATATGCACGTAAGTAAATCCTTTTAATTGGCACAAAACAGTAGCAACGTAATTCATGTACAATGACAGAAGCATGTCTTTAGCCTATCCTGGCCGTGCAAGTAATCAGTAGTCAACCAATCAATACCAAGCATACACTGATGCAGTCTGATTGGTCACTGTAATCAAGGTTGCATGCGAGGAACGTCCACGTCACGTGCGTGTATGTCTGTACGTCCGTTGTGTATCAAGTATTGATGTTGCATGTTCAAGGGGAGCGATGTGTATAACTGTTATCGAACAAATGCGTTAGACCGCACATGTATATATTATCGTGATTGGTGTCGCTTCAAGTTGGCAGAAGATCAGTCTAATGGAGGGCTCATACATTTCTCTTCCGATCAGAAGTGTGATAATCGCTTGGGCTACAGTTTATCAATCTTCTATATTCTCCACTCACGTAGGTCACGTGGAAATGACTTGAATGGAACCCTACCAGACGTACGTACGTAACTAAACGTATACACTGTTGCTATCTTTCCTTCCTCTTTTAATAGCCCCAGAAGTACTGCACGGTGAGCCCATGTCCAATGCCTCTGATTTGTGGAGCTTGGGTGCTGTTGCCTATCTACTGTAAGTACATTCAAATTATATGCCTATATTTCATATCAATATTTGTATTGTCAAACAGTTTCTTTTTAATTAAAATCCTTCAGTTTGAAAAGTTGTTTATTTACTCGTAGTCATGTCAACTGAAGATGATAATAACATGATCTGTCTTAAATTCACAGAATTCCATGAACATTCAGGAACATTTTAATCCCACATCACCAAAATGTTCAACTTCGCTTGGTAACTCACTCAAAAAATACTTTAGGTTGTCCATAGAGAAATTAATTTATTCCGACCGGAGGGGTTTAGTTAGACCCAGCCCAGTTAGTGACGTGTAACGGCCGAAGTACTAATCACTTTGAGGGGCTCTCAATAGAAGTTACCCTGAAGTCATTTCGAGTGGGGAAGGTATAGAAAGGGTTGATTTAGAAGACCAAATCAAGGAACAACAGATCGATAAAATACTGGGTTGATCTTGAGGTAGATAGATTATCTGACCAGTCACGTGCTGTTCGATGAGGGAGATTTGTCATCTGCTTCGATTTGATTCGAAATCACGGTCTTCCATAGACCGGGGACCAAAACAATCTGTAACTGATTGGTTGGTGAAAGTTCGTAAAAAAGAGTTGTGACTGAAGGAAAAAGCGGACCAGCAGACAGACCTCATACAGGAGACCTTGTTGCTGTGTTGGATTACAACACTGTTGTGTTCTTTAACGGATGGGGATTAAAAGGATGCGCTTGAGATGGGTGCTGAACGCTGGAGGTACCGGTTAAAACAAAAATTGCGAATAATAATCGTCTCAGTTACAATGTCTAACGCAACTAGTGCCATGGAAAAGTATTTTCTCAAGTAGATCAGCCACGGGAGGAAAATTCGTTTTCGGATAATGCATACTGGTAATTGACATTTAGACCGTGTGTTTTTCTTTGATTTGCAAGAAGGGGTCTGCTTGTTATTGAAGTATATTCATGATCATACGTTCCGTCGAATTCCCTCCCACTGGGCAACGGGTTCACCCCATCCGGGTTTCACACCAGCGAATTTGCGGAATTTATCCTGATACTAGCGCGACCATGTGATTGTTTTGTATCACTTTTCTGCTCCCTTACCCCCCCACACACACACAACAGCATGACCGGAAAATGTCCACAGAAATCTGAGCCGACGGCCCCTCAACCCGCGAAAGTGGACGAAGGTGCAGCACCCAAACCCCCCGTTGGCCCGCGTTCACGCAGTAGACGGCGTGGAGAGTCCTCATCATCGACCACAAAAGATGCCTCAGCTCCAGTTCCTGCCCAACCAGAGGAGAAGAAACAAACCATTGAATTCCGCCGGTTGAAAGCATTTACTAAGCCGGGCAAGAAATTCGTGTACAACACAGTGCGCCAAACACCATCGTGAGTAGTCTTCTGTTTTTGTCTAAAGAACACGGCTGGCAGAAAAACAGTCTACTCGCCGACAGTTGATAGTCCGATAGGACTTTGACTCAGCATTCAAAAGAGAACACACGGGATAATAGGGTTTTTGGTTCACAACAAAGAATACCTCAAACGAGAATCAGAAAACACTAACGTTCACCTCACTAACCTTATAACATGATGATTCTCTTCCTTCATGGATATCCATGCATTCAAAGCGACAATACTGTTCTAATCGTAGTAGTTGTAGTACGCAGTAATCACGAAGTATGAATCACGAATTACGAATCAGAAATCGCGGGCGCCACGTAGGCACTGAATCACACTGGTACTTACACGCAGTATCCCACGGAACCGACACACGACAAAAAGGCCGTAGGAGTGGTAGTTCGTTTATTGAAAGAAATCAGGTGGATTAAATAATATGCACAAAATAAGTTCATTGGTTATCCAAGACTCCGCCAATGGCATGCTAGTATTTCTGGTGTTGTGGAGCTTCTGTCTGGGCCGCACGGTTTCTGATTGGTTGGTACAATTGACCGAAGCTGTGACCTCTTATGCGCATTGTTGGCGTCACCTGGGACGCTTGATTCACTACAGTTGTCCGAAAACGTGTCGCTCCGTGGTA